CAAACTACCATACGTCATTATTTTATGAATTGCTTTGTAAAATTCAAAGCTCCATCTAGGCGGTATGAAAATTGTTAGAATTTTTGTCTAATTTTATGACGTTTAACCCATAAATTTCCATTTGTTACGAAATATATTTGTAACTTTACAAAACGTTTCGTAAATTGACACTTACGAAATATTTTCGTAATTTATTTTTTACAAAGCATTTCGTAACATTTTTTTGTAAAATCACGAAAACTTTTTACACAGGGCAGCAAAGTGCAGCCATTGACTTTAAGCTAGAATTTTCGGCTTTTTCACATGTCTCTTTTGTCTTCAGTCTCCTTCTCACTCTGGGCCCAGTCCCGCGAGTACAGCCAACTCAAGTGGATCACAACTCCAAGCTTGCAGTAGTTCATCAAGCCAGCCGACAAGTTCAGGTGGAAACTCAACTTCCGGAACAAGCCCCCGCAATGGTGGGACTGGTCCTCAAACCAATCCATCATGCAGTCTTGCAAAGCTGCAGCAACTCACCAATGGCCTTGAAAATCCTAGCCATGGGCATTGTTTAACTCCTCCCACTGGAACTATGATGACCGCTCCTTCACCTGGACTGCCTTCCCACCATCCCCATATGTCCATGACTTCTCCTCCCAGCACCCATGGCATGTTTCAGCAACAAAACTCACGTGGTCTTTCTACTTCTCCATCTGGTGAGCCAACCTCTTAAAACATTTATACTGTTGGGTAAAATTTCTTTTTAAATGTTATGACTCAATTTTTATTTTTCTTGTTTATAGGCATTCATGCTAATTTCCAACAAAGTCAAGAATACCTTCCTCTTTACCACAAGTATTATCAGAGCCAAGGTGGTATGAGCACTCTACCCTCACCGATCCATGTCTCTGGCAGTAGCTCCCGGTCCAACCGGAGTAGCAGCAACAATAGTAGTGGCACTACAGCAGGAACTGCATCTAGTGCTAGCAGCAACTCGACCAGCACCAATAGCTCTAGCAATCCTAGTAATCCTGGTAATGCAGCTGCGCTCAGCCCGGCTGTCCAACATTCCTCCCTCCATTCATCAAGAATGGGAGTGGGTGTGACTCCCAATTTAATGGCTCAGTATGGCTCATTCAATGGATATCGTATGCAGCAACAGGTAAAGGAATTTCGTTTTATCTAAGTGTATGATGCAGCTAATGTTTTTTGAAATAATTTCATTTTTTGGTATCCTTTACTAATGAACATTATTCTTTTCCTTTTTTGAACAGAGTCCCTATATCACAAACACTGCAGGATTCATAAGCCAATCTGGTCAACTACCCGTACAAATGATGGCACAATCCCAGTATCAAGACTCACAAAATATGTATCATTATTCTTACCTCAATGGTACTTTAATGCAGCCTTTAAATGGCGCTCGGCGGTAGTATTTTATATCTTTTACTCCAGTAAACCCAATTGGGGACTTCTCCTTAAACAATAATTTTGTGGTAAGGATTACAAGTTATTACAAACTGGCTCATTTGACTTCTGAAGTAAATGGAGACCACTTGTTTAGATTTTAAGGTCCATCTTGACTATATTTATTTTTACTTAAGAAACTTATCTTTCAATTTTTGGTGTTACATGGCAAACGCCAGATTAGTCATAACAAAATATTACCATCAAATGGCTGTAGACTTATTATTGTGACGTCTCAATCAAGGTTGTTACATTTTAACTTCTCCTGGAATCTTAAATGCAGATTTTATTCGTTGGTTTCTTCTTTCACTAGATTGTGGCAGTAGGTAACTTTCAATTGTTAACTTTATTCAATGAGTGTATGTATGTATGTATATAATTGTATGTAAGTATGTATAGTCAAGTACATGTGTATTGTGATTGTGTATAGTTGTATGTATGTACCTATAGTGTTGTGAAAGTAGACAAAAGAGGTTGAAGACCTCGTTATTGTTGAACATAATTTAATAGTTGTGTTGATTTCAGTATTGTATTAAATCTGTTCTGCTTTTAAGTTTTTCTGTATTTTGTATAGTTGGATTAGAAAGGGCTTATTCAGCAAAAGGCTGTCAGTACTGCTATTAAAATTTTGTCTTAGCATAATTTATTATTGTTAACTGTAAGATGTCAACAACATTGTAAGTGTTGTTTCTATTTTTACTTTCATTTCATACCAGTGGTGTAAGGAAATATTTAATGAAATACTACTCCTTACAAACTTCAATGGAGTGCATGTCCAAAGATTTGTATTATGTGCCTTGTACCTGTTAAGTCATTTTTCTGTCAGCCTCTTGAAGAATTAGCCCTATGTGCGTGAGTGATTTCTCATTCTCACGGAACCCAAATCAGTGCCTTCTGTGAACCTGATAGGAAATTATAATAAACTTGGCCAGTTGATGCATGTGCATCAGTTATTTCAGATGTTTTTTCTCATACATGTTGTATGTTACCCTTTTACCTCCTCCAAGCAAGCTTATGTCTGTTTCATCTCTGATTAGGGGAAAAATTTGATAATTTTGGAGGTAAAGATAAGGAAACTAAACTTCTGATATAACATTTTCCTGTATGTATCAGAGTTTTCAGAACTCCTTAACCACTAACACTAATGCTTTAGCATAAATAAATACAATTTACTGTAATATGTTGTAGTGAGCTATGGTAAGGCCAACTTGTGCATTTTTGCAGAAGATTCTTCATACAATATCAACAGTTGCGAGTTATTTTCAACAATGCCTTTACATATTCTTTTGTACCTTAGGTTCAATTCTGTTAAATACCAACATTTGTTTTAAAGATGAATTGCTACACTTTTCTGCTTATTTTAGACTTATCAGATATCAGAGATAGAAGTATTCTAACAAATTATTACAGTTAGCTGTAATGGAAACCGTTCATGTTTCCTGCAATGCACTGTCAACTGCATAGAACAGATGCGCTTTGTGGTTATTTGCTTTTTTTCTTATTTGTTATCAGATAACTCAATATATCAAAGATGTATTTTTTTTGACGTAGCAGGATACTGTAGTGGAGATTTTACTTGTACAGTGTGTGTTCCTATCACTTTCCTGAAAATGATTCATATGTTTGTACTTTCGAGAGGAATTTTCTCTGTGATAATATCTGGTGAACCCAGTTCCACATTTTAATAAATATGCAATACACGCAATCTTTGTCTCATTAGAATGGATCTATACTGCTATTCAAATTAGATGTCCTCACAACGACGCTGCGACGCCAACGATAGCGCCTGCCACGCGCTGGGTAGGCCAACCCGCCAAGCAGCCGTGTGAAGCCGATGGTCCGCCCAGATCGCCCAAGTGCGAGTGAGTTGGCTTCATTGTGGGGTCATTGAATAAACTTGAATACAGAAAGCTTGTTTTACACAAATGATCTAATTATACAAAGATCTTCGGTCTGGTCTAGCCTATAGTCAAGAGCCGTCCTGGTTGCGAGGCGAGAACCCACGCAGCTCTCTAACGTCTTCTCTGTTTGCAAGGGGCGGAGGAGGAGCCACTAGGCCTTGAGCGTAGGGGTGGTTGTTTGTTCTATCGAGCCGTTGCCCACGCCTTGAATCAGTTTAGTCCCGCAGGTCGTGTGTGGCGGTCAGACCTGGAGTA